TATATATATATATATATATATATATATATATATATATATATATATATACTGGCTAAATATAAATTAGAATAAGATTTTGTGTTGGGTTTTATGTTTTTATTTTTAGCAAAAAGAACAAGAAGTAACTTAGATTGTATATGAAATGTACAGTGGTAGACACTTATAATATGTAAATGTACAATAAATATTGTGAAAAGGTTTCGATATTATATAATATGACAGATATGGTTGCGGGAACTCTTGGGAAGTATGTATGTATGTATGTATGTGGTAAAGATGATGGCGGTGTGTGAATGTACAAGTGTTTGAAGCATGATGTACAAGAGTGGTCAATTCGTGAAGTGGATGATGAAGAAGAGGCGTGAAGGATCTGAAGTAGTTTGTGGCAAATGAAAAATAGAATGGAAAAGGAAAGGGTTTTGGAGGGTAGTGATGAATGGAAGATGTCACTTTCTAGACTCCCATGGTTTATGGGTACGTTTTCGTTTCATTTGTTGTTGTATTTTTGTGGTTCATAAAAAGTAAGTATGTCGACTTTTTTGTGTACTAGTGCATCCTCTACAAAACGACAGGGTTTTGGTTTTTATCGACTTCGATATTTTGGAAAACCTTCCTATTAGTAAATTCATTTTGTTGTTGACTTTATGATCTTTATAAATACCATGCCTAAGCTTTGAGCTACATTAACATACATATATATATCTTGTAAAACTTTCTAACAAAAACCAGCCACATCATTATTAGTCCACGAAAGGCCCATTTGTATTTCATAAGTGCATGTATATGTTTTCGGCCCAAGGCCTTTTTTGTACACAATATTTCTTTGATCGTTCATAGGAAAATCTCTCTCAATTAAAACATCATAAACTCATTTTTAATTCAAACGATTGGTTTACCTAAAGGATTTGAAATAGAACCTTGAATTCTATGTGTAAATAACTTCAAAACACATAATCCATAATCAAAATGGGATCCTATCAATCAATGGGTGATTCACCAAGCTACGGTTCCAAAATGATTACTATCAAAGCTTCTAATCACAATTTTTGCTATGGAGATAAATTCACCTCAATACAACAGTATGAGAACAATGAAATACAATACTAATCTCATTAAATATATGAGTTTGAACATTAGTTTTGAAGTTGGTGAAACTAGCGGATGTTTCAACATTGATGAAATCTCAAATAACATTCAAATGCTCCTTTCAACTCTAAGCTTTCCGCTCATTTTGCAAGCCAAAATCGTTCAAATCAAATGGATGAAAGGGGTTTGTAGTCTAAATGATCTAATCTTTCATCACTTCCAAAAATAGTCCCTCACTTTCTAGTTTTTGTTATTTAGCCCGAACTAACATTGTCAATAACAAACTACGTCCTAAGACTTTTATTATTACCCCTAAAACTGAATATGTTCACAAAATAAGTCCAAAATATGATTAGATAAGTTAGGTCAAGTCACATACTTAGGTTTCAATTATTGAAAATTTGATTCTCAACATGAAAATTATTAATCTTAAACAATAACCTTTAAATAAAATTTTAACCCTGACTTGAAGGTGTTACACATTTATGACCGATTTGACATTTTTTGTTCAAGGTTGCATTACCTGTCGATGTTGACATGGAAAATGAGTTTGGTATATTAGTAAATATTGTCCAATGAGCGAGACCATGTTGAGAGTAGTTCTAGAGAAGAATCATGTTGTTCTAAGACTTAGGACATGTTTGTTGAGACCACGAAATTTGAGTCAACTAAGACAAGTTTTCATAACTATTCTCACACAACACATGTTGATGCACCACTAGTGCTCCAAGCATGCATATAGATAACTTTATGACTGATCCATAAAACTTAGATTCCTATGTTTCTAGAATATTAGAGGATTCGGTTAAGACTAGACCTATTCCTATTAGACAAGGACCCATTTAACTGATCAATATGGGTCTCTCCACTGCATTGAAAGAGCTACGTGGCCTCCTTTATAACCGTTAAAGAGAAATGAACACCCCCCCTTTTCAACGCCTTGTTACTTCCCGTTGCCACTCCAACGCCCGTTACTCTCTTCTTCCTCTCTGCTTTTCTTCTTCCTTGGCCTCACGACGATGTGTTTATGGACAAACATCATCCCCACAATGGTGTTGAGGGCTCGATGTTGATGTGGCACAGTGGTAACGGGTACCCATACCGAGCAGTCTTAGAAATCCTAGTGAGTATACATGTGTTCGTATTTTGCATTTCTTTAAACCTAGTGCGTATACGTGTTATGGTCATTTATAAGACATATAAGATTCTGGTCTTTCACTAAGTCCATGGAAAACTGGTACTTTCTATGATACATATGTTCGTGTTTTGAATTTCTTTAGTATGTTGATAAAGTCTCTAACCAGCTAATTTCACAAGAAACTGGTCTTTCACTACCTAGTAAAGTCGAATGAGTGACCAGGGTTGAAAATATGGGTAAATAAATGAAGTATACAATGCTAAGATTGTCGTTGATCTACAAATATATAAAACTTGTAATAGAAGGAATCACGTATTATTATAAGTTCATGGTTTGAAGTAGGAATAGTTAATTGTAATGATTTACTTAATTACTTGTTAACGCACTTACGTAAAATGTTAATGTAATCATTTGCTAATATACCAAGCTCATATGCAACGTTAACATCGACGTTTAATGCCACATTGAATAAAAATATCTAGTTATTAAAAAACAATAGACGGTAGCAGATAAAAGTATTTAAATAAAACAAAAAAAAAAGTTTAAGGACCCCTTATATACAAAATAAATCAGATGAAAATAACATTAAAACACTAGTTCGTTAGACATTTTCATCCTTTTCCCTTCATAAAATATCTATAACGGGTGGAAAGAAATATATTTAATAGCTCATGTGGAAATAAAATATTTCAGATTAAAATAAGACTAATATATCATTCAACAATAAAATATGGCCCAAAAAATGGTGGAAATAGGCTTGTGCATATGGATTATTTATTTGAAAAATAAATTGCTATAGATGTGCCATGGCCCATGCAACTAGTGAC